AAGTGTTCTAAGCGTGGCCTTCCACACACAATTGCCTTGCCTTCTCTCCACCTGTAGTGAGAAGGGGTCAGATGAATGAGGGAGCCCATGCCAGGGTCATTGTGCCCCCTGCCCAGGTGGGTTTTCATGGAGTTTGTTCAGATCTGCCCGGCCCCTGGGCTCTCATTAGGGAACGAGTGAAGGGCTCTTTGGCAGCTGGTGTGAGTGAGAAAAATGACAGTTCCCTTCATGTGAAGGTGAGCACGTGGCCTCAGAAGCTGATTACAGATGCACAGCAATCAGAACACTGCTCTGGCTTCTTCCCGGAACCTCCCTCCCTCTCACTGCCCCACGTCCCTGCTCAGTGTCAATTTAATTAAAATCAGAACCAATGAGGGCATCATGCAAATCGTCCGCAAGCGGGGCAAGGGCACCCCGAGGACATGAGAACTGCATTCCCGCCTCGCTCTCTCTCTGGGCAGGGAAATGAGAGGAAGGAAGCCTGAAGGGAGGGGCCGGGCTCCTGAGGAGGATGGACTCAGGAGGGAAGAGAGGACACAGCATTGGGGAGAGGCTTGGAGCTCAATGCACTTCCTGCTTCAGTTCCCTGCTCATGACACAGACATGACCTTGCTCATGACTATGGGGAAGTGGTGAAGACTCCATGCTAATGCATCATACATAACCTGGGATGATGTGTGTGCTGTGTCCATGAGCTATGATTGTGGAGACAAGTAGTATTCAAAAAAGGAAAAATATGTGCAGGAAAGGAGGATTTAAAAATCGTGCCCCACCCCCTGGAGGTTATGATATTCACATAATCTGTGCACAAGTGTTTCTAACAGCTTTATTCTTAACAGCCCCAAACTGGAACAAGCCAGGTGTCCTTCAGTAGGCAAATGGTTAAACAAACTGCTATGTCCATCCCATGGCTGCGATATGGCAAAAGAACAGGATCAACTATTGATACACAACAACCTGGGTGAATTTCAAAGAAATTTTGCTGTGGAAAAAAAAAAGCCTATTCTAAGACTATATGCTGTATAATTTCGCTTATGTAACATCTGGAAATGACAAACTTAGAGAAACCGAGAGTACATCAATGGTTACCAGGGGTTGGGGTGGAGGGAGGTGGGGGAGGGAGAGGGCAGGAAGGAGCTGAATGTGGTTAGGAAAGGGCGAGGGGTCCTTATGGGGTTGGAACTGTTCAGGGTCTTGACTGTGGTGGAGGATAGAGACACGTCCACGTGGTAAAATCACGTAGAACTAAATTCTCACACAATTGCAAACAACTGGGGAATCTGAGAATGATCAGGGCATTGTATGAGTGTCAATATCCTGGTGGTGATATTGTGCTATAGTTTTGGAAGATGTTACCACAGAGGAGACTGAGTAAAAGGTACATAGAACGTCTCTATTATCTCTTACAACTTCATGTGAACTCAAAACAAAGGAAAGAGTTTAATGGGGATAAAAACAATGGGAGCTTTCCCCATCAATTATACGATTGCTCTGGAGGAGCAGTGTTTATTTGTGCCCTAAATCATGAGTCACAAAACTAAACTCTAGGGCAGCAGTTCTCAACCTGTGGGTCGTGACCCCTTTGGCAGTCGAACGACCCTTTCACAGGGGTCGCCTAAGACCATCCTGCATATCAGATATTTACATGACGATTCATAACAGTAGCAACATTACAGTGATGAAGTAGCAATGAACATAATTCTATGGTTGGGTCACAACATGAGGAACTGTATTGAGAGGGCCAGAAGGTTGAGAACCACTGCTCTAGGGTGACCGTTCTACATCAGAAACAAGTCTGCTCTGAGTCAGACACTAGTTACTGCACATGGACCTCCCTCCCTCGGAGATGGTCGGGGAGCTAGAGGACTCGTCTGCAGAAAATAAGCGATTGGCAAAAGGCTGCCATCACACAGATCACTAATCCACGTGCACACGGGTCTGGTGAGGGCTGACATAAATTGAACATATTCACACTGGCTTTCTGGCCACTTTCTCAAAGCCTCATTTTCAAAGGACAAGAGCTTCGTGCTGAGCCCTCAGCAGAGGAATTGGAGGGCCTCCCTGAAACCAGGTCTCCCCGGGATCACCGGCCCCACACTCTCTTACAAGACCCTCGCCCCTGACCTGGCTTCTTCCCCAGCCTCCCTTCAGGAGGGCCTGGCATGAAGCAACACGTTTTCCCAGGGGAGAGGCTCCTGAACAGCCCTCTGTGTTGCTCTTCTGTTTCTTCCCTTCAAGTGTTTAACACGTTTGAGATTTTCAAGACAAAATGTGAGGCCACCCCTGCTTCTAAATAATGTCACTGCTCCCTGGCTGATAGCACTTCTTCAGTGTCACACAAAGGAAAACCCAGGTGGCAGGAAACAAAGCAGGCTTCCTCCACAAGATGCCAGTCTTCCGAGAGGGGCCGAAGCTGCGAGAGCTGAAATCCCTGCCACGGCGGGACCAGAAGAGTAGCCCTTCCCTTGCTTTCTTATAACTTGAGCGCTAGGAAAACACCTTAGCCTTTTTGAAAATGTAAAGAAAAGATGCAGCCGTGCAATGTGTGTGGTTATCTGAGCTGAACAGATCTCTTAGTTATTCTTTCTTATGAAGACCGCCAAGGCTGGCACGGTGGCCAGCTGACTGCCAGTCATGCCCTCCAAGGATGGCGCAGCAGAAAAGAAAGGAAGAGGCAATCCCCTTGCTAAGGAAGGCAGCCAACTGCGTGCTCAACACAGAAGAAGCCTGCTTCATTCTCGCTCTAAAGGGGTATCATAGATCTCCAGCAGGGGATGCCAGGAGCTCAGAATCTCCCAAGGCTGCCAAAGCCACCTATCAGAGAGCGAGAAAGCCAGAGCCAAGATGCCCAAGGGTAGTTCACCTTCAAAACAGCGAAGCCAGTGAAAAAAGAAAAAAAAAAGTTCGCAATTAACTGTAAGTGGCTGATGGTGCTTGAATAACAAGGGTGTCAAGACATTCAGTGGAAATGAAGCAAAAGAATGCGTGGATGGGGCACATCAGGAGCTGTCACAGATCCCTGTTCCCTCAAAGAAGAAAAATCCCTGGAAGGACCTGGAAGAAGCAGGCCCAGAGCCATTTGCTCGTCTGAAGTTCAAGAGCATAAACAGCCAAGGTGAGGGCCCGAATGTGTCAAAGAAATTGAAAAGGTGATAATTTTGTCAGCACCCTGGGAGATGGGTAGAGAGGCCATATGGTGCCAAATAAATATTTGCTCCAAATAAAATCTCATTACTCTGACTGTCTTTGGGTTCCTGCCTCCGATTGTAAGTCTGCATTGAAAAGAAAACCTCAGGAAGCCCATTCTCAAAGGAATTCTACGTAGACATTGAAACTGAGAAATAAAATCTTTTTAGAGCGAAAATATTTGGGGATCCGAGAAAGTAAACAGAAAGTAGGCGCTGCCTGTACAATTTCTGCTGGATAAAGTGAACAGAGAGAAAAATGTTTAATAATCTCAAACCGTGTCTCAAATCTAGTCTCATTCTGCAGCCACATCTCACCCTCTAACACTTCCACTCCATGGAGGAAGGTCAGTAAGCCTGTAGAATTTCCTAAAGAAAAAGCATTCTCTGTCCAGCTGACATGGCTCAGTGGTTGAGCATCGACCTATGAACTAGGAGGTCACAGTTCAATTCCTAGTCAGGGCACATGCCCAGGTTGCAAGCTCCATCCCCAGTAGGAGGTGTGCAGGAGGCACCCGACCAATGATTCTCTCTCATCATTGATGTTTCTATCTCCCACTCCCTCTCTAAAATCAATTAAAATATATTTTTTTAAAAAAGAAATAGCATTCTGGTTGGTGGCAGTGTTCTCAACTGAGAAATCTATTAGAATTACAGTCTAATGGCTGTAAAATGTTTTTTCTAACCACTGTGAAATAACTACCCTCTTCATTTAAAAAAAAAAATCATTTTACGACTTGACTCTTCCATTCATTTATTACGAATCTACTATACTGGCAAAACCCTACCTAAACTTATGAGACTATATCATATAGGAAACCACGGTCATGGTTTTTTAAGAGATAATCCTATATAATAAAAGGCTAATATGCAAATTGTCCCTGCTACCGGGAGTTTGACAGGGAGTTCGACCAGGGGGTGGGGCCAACTGGCCAACAGCCCGAGGCCCCTTCCCTTGGCCAGCCCCGCCCCCGATCAGCCCCCCTACCCCAATATGGGGCAGGGCTGGCTGGCCAAACACCTGGAGCCCCTCCCTCACCCATCCCTGCCCCCGATCAGCCCAGATTGGGGCGGGCTGGCCAAACCCCACCTGTGCATGAATTCATGCACCAGGCCTCTAGTAAATTATAAGGCTTGAATTTTCACCTTCAAGGTGCTCATATGTATTTGGAGAACATCATTCAAAATACGCAAATAAAAGTAAAAGGCAGCGTGTGAGTTAGTGCCACGATGAGCCATTCAGCTCAAGAACCCGAAAGAAACCCACACCCGAAGAGGAAACAGAGTCTTGAAGGTCTTCTAAGACCTGCACAGGACCTCCTGCTCTGAACAAACACCTCCGTTCCCCATGATGCTAGAGCCTTCTCTCATTCACATTGAGATGTGACTTACTGGCTCTCATCAGAGGCCCACTACTTAGTGGCACAGACCCATGGCCACGCTTGATAAAATTTAATCTAGCTATCAAGCTCTGCAGAGATCATCTGAGGCTGGCCATATATGGTCCTCAGCTACTGCCCTAATCCTGGAGCAGAAAGAGGAGGGTTCCAAAGACAGCTTCAGATCAAGGGCAAGCACCTGAGATCCATGTATCAGGCTCTGTGCTCACTCATTCAGCCTCCATTGAGTCCCCACTTTGTAATAAGACACGACTAGATGTTTGGGGAGATACAATCATGAATATGATTCAAAATGGGGAACAGTGATGACGACGGCTATAGCAGAGGAAAAGAAAACATGATTTGCAAGTTCCTAGGAGGACTCGACCTCTTATGGAGATCTGATGAGGGTTGCTGGTTGAGTTTGCAGGCTTAGAGGATGAGGAGGTTCTGAATGAGATACAGTCTTAAAGGCACAGGGACGTGGGTACCTGGAGGAGAAAGAGGGCTTTCTGTGAGGAGGTTAATAGGTGAGAAAAGGCATGATGGTCTGAATAGCGGGACTGGGCATGGCAGCAACATCTGTCCCTGAGCTCTGCTGGTCCTCCATTATGTACACATAAAAATCACTATTGGCAGATCTATAAAACTCAGGTCCATTAAATTAACTATCCAGTGGAAGTAATTAAGACGGGGAACTTCAGTTCAGGAGGACAGTATATCTTTGTTATCAAGTAGCAGCTATTCACAGAAGACATTGATTGCAGGGTTATTAAACCTCCACAAATATGTTTTTAACCATACGTTATTTAACATAGAGCAATGACCTTTTTCAGGATAAATGGAAATGTTTTCCTAGGCAGGTAAATTATTGCCTACTGACAAACAGAGAATTGTTTCCCGCAGGACATTTCTGTCTTGTTCTAAATCTTTCTTCCTAAACGTGGTTTCCTTCATGTTTCATGGGAGACTGTGTGCATGACATATACACCTCTCACAAATTAAAATTTTGTTTGATGATCAGCTTGATTTTTCCCCAAATATGACTCTCTCATATTTCATTGCAGAAAATTTCTGGAAACTTCTACAAAAGCAACACTACAGAGCTTTCAAACCTCATACTAAAAAAGTAATGGGTATAGAAAAGCCAAGTGCAAGAAGTGAAGCATATTCATGATGTACTGCACACTTTCCGAAGAGTAAGTGTCAATCTATCAATTGTTAGATCAGTCCTACACTAAATACCTTAAGAAAAGCAGGAATCGACACCCCCCAATCAGACTTCACTCTCCAATTACATTAGGATAATCATTGTCCAGACTCATTTATGTTTGTGTAAGATAATTTTATTTCCCACACTAAAAGGTCCTTTATTACCAACCATCAACACCTTAATAGCAGTCCTAACTGTGAAGAAAAGCCACTTAAATTAATTCCACTTTATTCTGACTTTATTCCACTGTGTCAGCAGGGCCTCTCTGAGAGCTGCAGGCTTCAGCCAATCAGAGGAGGGCACACAGCCGTGAACAATGCTCCAACAGGAAGCACACAATGGTTGCACAGTGGAGACATGAGGGGGTGAAAGGAATTAGAGAACAATTGTGCATAAAGAATGATCCAGAAGGTTAAACCTACTAAGAAAACTCAATGAGAATGGGGGAGGCGAGGCAGATGATGGTCAGAGGGAATCAAAAGCAAGAAAAATCATACGTTTTGGTATTCTGGCTCTGATGACTATTTTATTTCAGGATAAAGAACACTAGTCCATGTCCAGCTCAGCTAGTATGGCTCAGTGGTTGAGCATCAACCTATGAACCAGAAAAGGTCATGGCTTGATTCCTGGTCAGGGCCCAAGCCCAGGTTGTGGGCTCTATCGCACATGGGGGATGTGCAAGAGGCAGCGAATCAGTGATTGTCTCTCATCATTGATATTTCTCTCTTTCTCTCTTTTTCTCCCTCTCTGAAATCAATAAAAATATATATTTTTAAAAAAGAGTACCTGTTCATGGCTGATATGATGCTTTTCCTTGGTAGGATACTCTAATCAGTTTATACCTTCTTTTTCTGAAACCCCTTCTCCCATCATGACCAGGAAAGAATGCAGTCTTTATCCCACTCCCCAGATGAAAAACTGAAAAACAGATGGCTTGTGAATTCTATAACATGAATGAGGAGGACCGATGATCGAGTAAAGATATTTTAAATCAAATTCTCAGAAGATACACATGAGCACTTATTCCCCAAGTCATTTACTTGAGAGCATATTCCAGAGATGGTATGACCACAGCCTGGGCATTTATGACATATCTTTGAGTTTTGACAGTTGAGGTTTAAATCCAGACATCTAGCCTCAATCTTTTGTAGTTATTTTGGTTCTGATCCAAACAAATGATCCAGCTTGCTCATTTAGCTAGTTCATCAGACTTGACCTTCAACAACATTTAATTGCTTCTCAGAAGCGCTTCCACTCTGAGGGAAATCAGGTTTGTTACCTCTGAGAACATGCGAAAAAATGGGCTTCAGGCTGCTTATGTAATTCCAACAGAGACATTTTCTGAATGTGACCCAATAGGGAGGAGTGGATACAATGGGGAGAAGTATTTGGTCTCCTCCTGGAGATGTTATGATAATTCATTTGCTTGGATCAGTTTTGGATGCTTCTTTACTTGTAAATCTCACTTCTGTGACCTGAGAGTGAGTAGTTATTTAAATTCAAGCCCGTGGCCTACCCCAACCAGCTTCTGAAGTGGATGCTCTCAGGATGTGGTGGAGTAGGACACAGAAGGAGCCAGAGGGCGTAGACAAAGGGAAGAAGAAGAAATAGGTCATGGAGATTGGGAAAGGAGGAGGATAAAAGAGAAGGGCCTTATCTCTGATAGGAACTCCAGAATATGTTATCTCACTCCCAGGTTACTCCATATCTTCCTGACCTGTAGTCTCAGGCATCCACACAAATTTTTGTGTCTACTGTGTCCAGGTGCTCTAGGTGTTGGGTTATGTACATGAACAAAACAGGTAAAGATCCTTTCCGCATATATTTTATTTGAGAAGGTGCAGGCAATCAATAATCAATAACAACAGATAAGCCAATTTATAGAGCTTTTAGATGGTGCTAAGTACTGTAGAAACTTCAAATAGAGAAAAAAGGGCACGAAGAAATAGGTCATGGAGATTGGGAAAGGATGAGGATAAAAGAGAAGGGCCATATCTCTGATAGGAACTCCAGATTATGTTATCTCACTCCCAGGTTACTCCGTATCTTCCTGACCTGTAGTCTCAGGCATCCACACATATATTTATTGTGTCTACTGTGTCCAGATGCTCTAGGTGTTGGGTTATGTACATGAACAAAACAGGTAAAGATCCTTTCCGCATATATTTTATTTGAGAAGGTGCAGGCAATCAATAATCAATAACAACAGATAAGCCAATTTATAGAGCTTTTAGATGGTGCTAAGTACTGTAGAAACTTCAAATAGAGAAAAAAGGGCACTAGAGCTGGACGGGATTCTACAATTTTAAATATGGTTATGGGGGTAGGCTTCATTAACAGGGTGGCAAACAAAGATTTGAAGCAGGCGAGGGAGTTATCTAGGCAAATATCTAGGGGAAAAACATCCTAGAACAATCATACCAAGTGTCCTACAGCCAGAGGGTGCTTGGAGTGTTCACAGAACGCAAGGCAGCCAGTGTGGCTGAAATAGTGAAGAAGCAGGTAGAATAGTGAAGAAAGTCAAAAGGAATTGGTGGTGGTGGTGGTGATGGTGATGGTGATGGTGGTGATTGTGGTGGTGATGGTGATGGTGATGGTGATGGTGATGGTGATGGTGATGATGATGATGGTGGTGGTGATGGTGGTGATGATGATGATGGTAGCAGTGATGGTGATGGTGGTTGATGATGATGATGACAGCAGTGATGGTGATAGTGATGATGATGGTAGTGGTGGTGATGGTGGTGATGATGATGATGGTAGCAGTGATGGTGATGGTGGTGATGGTGGCAGTGATGATGATGGTGGTGTTG